CTCTGTTGTCTGTGAATCAACATGACAAAGAGGAAAATTTGAGTTTCAGGTGATGAAATTGTCACTTGCTTTGCCAGGCATCTGATATAGCCTGTGTCTGGCAAAATGTATAACTTTATAGCTGTATCATTTCTAGATACTGTTTTAACTTAAACATGTCACAGAGAATAGCTTCATGCTAAAAATAGAAATAGAAGGAAATAAAGCAGTATTACGTGCCAGGAGGTTTTTTTTCTTTTTCTTTTTTTCTTTTTCTGTGCATGCAAACAAAAATCACAGACAAAGAAATGCAGTCGAAAAGAGACACTGGACTGGATGTTTTCACCATGTCACCCATGTGGTTCATGCCCAGGTCATATGAATGCAGGCCCATGGAGGCCTCCAGGTTGTGAATGGTGATAAGTTCAAGGTTTCTCTCCCACAACTCCCTCCTTCCAGCTCTTCATCCTGCCAATATGAACAACAGACAATTCCACAGTTTAATACAGCAATATATAAAACTATTGACATCACTGTTCATTTTATTTAAGTCTCAAATGAATACATTATTATTTCTTTAACAAATAAGCCCATGAATCAAGCTTTACCGGTTTGATAAGAAACAAGGAAGAAATGGACTTTGTATTCCTCATAGAACATGTGATAAACAAAAACAAAATATTCTAGATGTAGGTAAAAGATCAGCTTTTGGATCACCTGACAGATGATTGTGAAATTCATATTCTCACCTTACTGGAGTAAAACTTGTTATGCGTCTTCTTCCACAACTCCCAGTGCTGGTCTAGATTTGTGTTGAAATGGGCCAGTGCTGCGCTACAACACACGGCAAACAGCAAGCTCCCGAGCATCATGGCCTGACAAGAGCAAAACAGCCCGTCATAGTTACTTACACGCATTCAAACATCAATATTTTATCTGTTAATATATATATATATATTCTCATTGCATTATGTTGACAGCTGGCCGAAATGTCACATCATATATGTGTGTGTGTGTTCATATACATGTTCATATATATATAAGGTAAGATGATATGAAGTTTCAAAAAAACTTCCTTTTTGTTGGTTGAAGTGGGTGAATCTAAATATGTGTAAATGTCTTTGTGTGTATGTGAATGTATTTATGTGTACTTGCTGGTTGTTTAGACAAATATATGATTGTGTGTACATTATAGCATCAAGGCATCAGTGTGTGTTGAGGGGGTGTGAGTGTGTGTGTTGCTGTGTATTCATTGATCTCACATCCACTATGGCCAGTGCTTGAAGTGGGGGAAAAAAGTGCCGGTACACCACCACCCCCACCCCCCAAAAAATACATAAATAAATATATAAATTTTCATTATTTCAAATGTATATATATTTAATGTGTATATATAATATAAATAAGCACAAGTTAAGCTGCGATACCAAACAGGACCACAGAGAGCTGCCAAAAGACCACTAAACCTGCTGCCTTAACCTGACTGTACATGCTACTATACGGATCCATTCAGAATAACTAAACCATTAACCACCCTATAATCTAAAACACCTGCAGCCAACATTCATAATAAAACACTCCTGCTTTTAAGCCAAATACACACTGAAAAGAATAATTTACTGCCATCTGGACGCGAGTCACTATTCTCTTCGCCATGTCTGATGAAATCGTCCGTGTTTTCTCTGCATTAGCGCCGTTTTGAACTTATTACTAATGCATTCCTTTACTGGATCCTTGAACTTCCCAGGAGTTTTAGGCACCAAACCCCCAACTGCTCCCCGGGCGCAGCAGCACATGGCTGCCCACTGCTCCAGGTGTGTGTTCAAGGTGTGTGTGTGTTCACTACTGTGTGTGCACTTGGATGGGTTAAATGCAGAGCACAAATTCTGAGTACACTTGGCCACACGTCACTCACTTCACTTTTTTTAACTTTTTCATATGGCCCACGCTTCCACAACTCTTACCCTGTGCATGCAAATCTTTATGGCCATATTTTACCTTCAAAACCCTGTCCTTTCCATTAATTTAGCCATTCTGCCTGGTTATATATATATATATATATATATATATATATATATCTGTGCGTTTCTTGCAAGAACACCACACTAGCCTTTTTAAAAGCTAAAAATTTGATGAGAGCACTTCTCTTTTCTTTACGACATCCATTTATATTTAATGATCTGTCATATCTTACTATAATGCAGCAATCAAAACAAAAACTGTCCTTCTACCAAATCTGTAATAATTACTTTTTTTCATGTCTTGATGAATCATATTCTACTTTGGTGATTATTATTTTGAGACAATAATTTTTTTGTCTACTAAACTCCCCAACTCTTCAACTGTTGTATTTATCATTACATCTCTACAGGAAGCAAAAAAAATCCTAGAATCTGGAAAAACCGGATCCGCACACCTTTCGTTTCATCAAGAAAAGTAATAATCTGTCTTACAGAGTAGAATTTCGCTTCACATCTGCTCAATTCTGATGTCCCTATTTGAGAATCATTGTCTCCTATTTCAAAGAAACACCTCTGGTTACTGAACATAATCTCGGTTCCCTGGGGCGTTGCATACAGCTATGTTGACGCATAGGGGAAACACCGTACTCCTTCTTTTGAATACTGAAGCCTGATTCACTTGGCGCCATTACTTTGCAATAGCCAATGGTGCTCAAGCGCGTGAAAATAAGAGGCCGTGGCGCCTCTCATAACGCAGCGCCATTTTCCTTATAATCTTTCTACTAAATAAGACCTGAGCAAAAGTAACATGGCACGAACGCAAAGCCTCATTCCCCTCAAAGGGAACGGAAGTTATGTTCACTAACCGGAGGAGTTCCCTTTCGAGATGGTCTCTCGGCGTTGCGTACAGCTACTATCGTTGAGATGGTATTTAAGTAGAACATTCAGTTGCGAGTCCTATGGGGAAGCAAACATATAAAAACAGCACATTCTGTTAGTATGTCCTGGTAACGAAGCAAACATGAGTCCAGGGGCTATAGAGCAGTTGAGGCCATAGTGCAGCGAGCGACTGACTCAGTGCTTCAGAGAATAAACTGTTAGAACTGTAGAGCTGAATCCGCAAGCGCTGCCAGTATGGTCATACTCTTACATAAGAGTCTATCGGATCTAGTGGAAACCCGCACCATGAGCAAGGTTGTCCTGTTCCTGCAGTAGATTGCCAAGCACAATGGCAGAAGAGCAGTCTTAACAATAGAAGATCTTACCTCACCTAGCTTTCCTCAACTGACAAGACCCGAGAAGCTAGCAAAGAAATGTCCAAATTATAAAATTTGCCAAAAGTGTTCTGAGAGGCCCATCCTGCCGCCGAACATATTTCCTCAATAGATATACCTCTTGCCCAAGCCCAGGATGAGGCTACGCTTCTCATGCAGTGGGCATATATCCCTATGGGGCAAATTGTATTTCTGTGTGTCATAAGCCAAGGCTATCACATCCACGACCCAATGGGATAGCCTCTGCTTCGATACCGGTAGACCTTTAGTGCGGCCGCCGTAACATACAAAAAAGCTATTCTGAGAGTCTGAATTCCTTGGTTGCAGGCTGCAGAGGAGGGTTTTCCCCGACCACAGGCTCGCTCTGGGTGAAGATTAAAAGGGTTATCACTTGATTTATGAACGGTGTTTAGGCACGAAAGCACTTTAGGCACGAAACCCTTCCTTGGCTTAAGAATGACTTTACAGTCATTAACACCAAAGCTCAAGCAGGATTCGTTGACTTAGAGAGCATGTATATCCCCGATTCACTTAACATAAGTGAGTGCAAGCAAAAACACTGTCTTGAGAGAGAGCAGGTGCCTGGTGGACTGGGCTCTCGCCTCAGAAATGGTTCTCATCACTTGCTGAGGTAATGATACTGAAGAGGGTGGGCTCTGTTGAGCAGACAGACATGCAAGTCCCACAGCGCCAGATTGGGGTGCCAGATTGAGCCATTTGCCTGGGAGAGGAGGTCCTTCCTCAGGAGAATGGGCCAGGGAGGGCTCGATAGCATTTCAAGAAGGTCCAGGAACTAGGGCTGAGTGGGCCATTTCGGCGCGACTAGCAGAACTGGTTCCTTCTCCTATCTGATTCTGCACAACATCTGATGCAGGATGTTCACTGGAGGAAAAGCGTACCCAGGTAGCCAAAATGGTTTGGCCCGATAATGGCCCAGATCCGGCAGACCGGAAGAAATAACTCGGCCCGGTTGCGGTTGCCAGACTCGGCATGGACATGGGATGAATGACGCCCCAGAATCGGCCCAAATACACTGGCCCGAGTCCGGCTGCCAAAACTGCCGGCATTGGGCCACAATCACGCCGACAAGAATTGAAACACTTAGCCGGTACTGGCCCGAGTCTGAGGCCCGATTCTTGGTACTGAAACTGAGCCAGCATCACCGGCATTGGGCCACAATCACACCGACACCTAGCCAGTACTAGTCTTGTTCACTAAATTAAAAAAATATATACTTACACTTACTTATACAGAATTAAACTTCTAAAATATGTGTATTAAAGACTCCTTACAGTTTTTATATGAAAACCAGAGCTTTGAATAATTTGTTTTTCCACAAAATGACATTGTTACCTTAAAATCCTTAAGATGGCATCTTTCAACTAAAATGAAATATATATTTTACAGTGTCCTAGTTAAGCCTTCATGTACTTACGCATGTCAACTAAATATGTCCCCTTTACAAAGATTAAGGGTTTGGCCCTTACACCATTTCTTTTCATGGCATCCCCACCTAATACCCCATAAATTACCCCATAACATCCATATGTGTTCCTTCCCCCACCCCCCAAGTATAAAAATGACACAATGAAAATATGAGTTATTTTAGAATTTATTTGGGGAAAAAAAATTTTTTTTTTAATCCAGGAGCTTCCTCAAGTAAGCATACCCTAAAAGAGGGACAGATTGACAGAAAGAGAGACAAAAAGGGGAAGAGACAATGACATGTATGGTTATTCAGACAATCTCAGACTGATAACATGAACGGTAACTCGGGTAAATGATAACATTTGGAACATACCTTTGGAAGAATTTGTTTGCATTCGGGCCCGCTCTTTTCTTCCCCCATCTCTGTCCAAAGTGAGCAGCAGCCATCTTTTGATGAACTTTTCAATCTCTCCATCTGATGCACTGCCAGTACTTGCATTTCTTTGCACTAATTCAGGGGTGGCGAACTCCGGTCCTGGAGTCCTGCAGAGCTCAGCTCCAACCTGCCTGTTAAAACTCACCTGCCTGTAGCTTCCTAGTAACCCTTCACAGGCCTTGATTAGCTTGTTCAGGTGTGTTTGATTAGGGTTGAAGCAAAACTCTGCAGGGCTGCGGCTCTCCAGGACCGACGTTCGCCACCCCTGCACTAATTGAAAAAAAAGAGAGATCAGTCGCAATACTATAGACCAGTGATGTCAAACTCAATTCCTGGAGGGCCGCAGCTCTGCACAGTTTAGCTCCAATGGAAGTTTCAATCCTGAAGACCTTGATTAGCTGCAGAGTTGCCAGGTTTTCATAAGAAAACCCGCCCAATCGCTACTCAAAACTAGCCCAATCGCGTTTCGAGGGGGTCCCCAGTTAAAAATCGCATTCCAGGTGATACATATCATGTTATTGGAGTCGCTTCAACCCGCGGACATGAAAAACAAGCCGTGGCAACAGTGTTAAAGTAGCCCAATTCCGTAGGAAAACCGTGGACTTTGCAACACTGACTAGCTGGATCAGGTGTGCTTGATTATGGTTGGAGCTAAACTCTAGCACTATGTAAGCAAACTCACAATTATAGCTTCATTATAAATAAACATTAATTTGATATTATATGTGTAGAACAGTTTATTAAAATGATATATATGTTAGATTATCAAATGTTTACTCACCAGGGTAGCAAGTTCTTCTGGTCTTCTGGCAATTAGCAGCACAAAAAGCCCGTCAGGTTTTGTCATTATATAGATAGATAGTCAAAGCTAGTGCGCATGTCTTGAAACTCATATAGCAAAAATA